TCAAATTGTTTAACTGTTATCTCTTTAATGAGGTCGAGATCAGCAACTACAATATTAGGCATTGCCCCAACATAAAATCTAAGAAACACAAACAAACAAATCAATTAAGTGCATCTATAAATTGAATATATGTATGTAGCTGCCAGCTACAAAATTAATTTGCTGAAATGTTGCTCTCGCAAAATTACCAGCTAATTAATGCTGGTAATTTTGGAGAGGGACATTTCAGCAAATTTAACTTAATGCATTATTGGCCAATATGAAACCTGCCATTTTAACTTTTATATGCATGCTTGCTCAATGGCACATGGCCACAAATTTGCCAAATTAAAAACCCTTCGATTTATCTGCTCTAAAATGGTACTACATACCCAAACACTTTATTATTGTTCTCAGAAATTGACTTGTTCATAAGACTGATTGTACCCTATTAGATGACACAATGTTTGTATGTAAATAACCACAACATTAGGGTCACATACCAGTTTCAATACTTGTAATGCATTCCCCATGAAAGGTCTCACTGGAGGATGAGTGATACCAAGTCTCTTGAGAACTCGGTAAGGAGCATAACAAAAACTAATGAGAGGTCAAACAGTAACTAGAGAGATCTGCTAAAGATAGCCTACTTACTAGTACCAACAGTAAACTAGCAGCAAGGAGAGGAAAGAAAGAAGAGACACAAACAAGAAGCCCATAATTGAATGAGAGGCGTGGCTGACTGAAAGTTATTATTATTATTTATTATTATTATTATTAAAGAACTTTACAGTACTAACATAGAGAGAGAAGAAAAGAACAACATTAAATTGAGGGCAGCAGGAGTTTGGAGTACTGAGGGTACATCAGTAATTAATACTGAGTACCAGAAATAAAAAATTAAAACAATAATTTACACTATAACACTACGGTATATACATTATACATACACATAAAGTTACTAATGCAACAAAACAGTTACTTGACTTGTGAAGTGATACATTTGCTACAGGGGCAACAGAAGTGGTACGTACATAGATCCTCAGAGTTGAAAGTTTCTTCAAAGTAGGACCACATTAGGCGATGAAGATGGAATTTTGCTATAGGAACAGAGTAACCAAGAAGATCGACCTGCCTTGATATCTTATTCCAGAGTCTAGGGAGTCTTGTAAAGTAGAAGTGCCTTGAGGAGTTGGAACATGAGAATTGGTGTTGTAGCTTGATCCCACAGGAACGAGTTCCAGAGGTGGAAAAAGAAACAAACTGCAGTATATCAAAAGCAGGGTTTGGTGCTTTCACTGATGACAGAAAGAAGGATATATCATTCACCTCAAAGTACATCATTAGAGGTAGGATCTGAGTTGATCTATATTGTTTAATAATACTCTATATCTACCAATAACCATTCACAATGTCAAAATAATCATGGAATGTATTATTTAGATTTAGATCTTAAGAATGATATGTTGCCCTGGGCCAATCTACCCCTTTAGGTAGTAGACTGCCTGGCTAGATTTACAGTTGGTTCATTAGTTTAGAATGTGGCTACGATTATTGGTTTATTAGTTTGGAATTGCTAAAAGTTGTTCGTTCACTTTGATCATTAGAGCTGGGCTATGTCTCTAGGAATAGTACTCAACTGTATCAATAACAGCAGCTGCTAGCTATCTCAAAAACAATAATGAGTGCTTATGGAATGATGTTGTGAACTCATCTGTTCAAGCATACCTTTTAGGAGTGATCAACAACCACATGATGTCAGTAGATTGACAGACAGAATTTTTTATTTTTAACTGACATCATAGAATTGGCCATTTAGCTAAAATACAATGGATTAGTTTTTAGTTCTGTTCATTATAAAAATTTGTCAATTATTGGCATGAGAGATGCTGATTGTTATTCTGAGAGAATACCTGTG